ACAAATCTCCTGTCCAAACATAAGAGAAAGAATCCAAAGATCACGTTGTCCACTGACGAATTAAATTCTTTTGACAAAGCCAAACAGGCGTTACAAAACTGTACTAAGCTATCATACATAGCACCTTCACCTGACGCAAAATTAACCTTGATCACTGACGCATCGTCTAATACGGTCGGTGCGGTACTCCACCAAGTTGTTAACGGCGTAGAAAAGCCACTGTCGTTCTTCTCCGTCAAGCTTAATTCGGCCCAGGCCAAATACAGCACCATCTCCCGTGAACTGTTGGCAGTTTACTTAGCCATCAGACATTATCGGCATATTTTGGAAGGACGCGACTTTTCGGTTTTCACAGACCACAAACCGCTAACATACGCCTTACATGCAAAATCCGAAAAACATAATCCGCGTGATATCCGATACCTGGACTACATAGGGCAATTCACATCAGATATTCGTTACGTTAGTGGCACCAGCAACACAGTAGCCGATGCTTTGTCTCGCACGACCCTTAACACAATTCAACCTGCAACATTAAACTTCGACACCTTGGCGGACGAGCAAATGAACGACGACACGCTGTCAGCTGTTCCATCGGATACTTCCCTGCAAATTGAGAAAAGACCTCTTCCATCCACGGATAGGTCAGTTTATTGCGACATGAGCACGGGCTAACCAGCGCCCGTATATACCACCAACTATGCGCCGTCTTGTTTGCGACCATTTTCACTCTCAAGCACACCCAGGAGGCAAGGCAACGTTGCGGACCATATCAGACAGATTTATCTGGCCTGGTATGGCAGACACACTAAAGCAGCAGTGTCAACCTTCCCCAATCCAGACGGACGTTTTATTCACTTGCATGCAGAATTAGTTGGTCCATTAGAACACGTAAACGGTTTTGAGTACATCCTTACAATCATCGACCGTTCTATGCGTTGGCCAGTCGCCATACCTCTCGAATCAATAACAGCTGAATCAGTCGCCAATGCCATCTTTACGCATTGGATCACTATTTTCGGGTGCCTTTCGGTGATCACTACCGATAGGGATCCGCAATTCCAATCTACCCTCTTCAGTGAATTCACCAACCTCCTGGGAATTAAACACATTTCCACCACCGCATATCATCCTTGTGCCAACGGCCTGCTGGAGAGATTTCACCGACAATTAAAGTATGCTCTGACAGCATCAACAAATGGCCGAACGTGGGTCGAGAAATTACCCTTCATCATGTTAGCTATACGCAACAGCGTTAAGCAGGACCGAGTTGGTTTTCGGAACACCTCTGACCTTACCCGGACAAATTTTCAGCCCAGTAACTGATAATCTTCTTTCCAGTCATTTCGTCAACGATCTTCGGCAAAAGATGACTGACGTTATCTATACACCAACTCAGGCTTATCATAAACCATACTATGTCCCCGCTGACAAAAACTGACTTTGTTTTCCTTCGCCGAGATTCGGTCCGCGAGCCCTTAACTCCTAACTACACAGGACCACACCAAGTCATCTCTCAAGCAGCAAAGTATTTCATTATTGATCTCACAGGGAAACATACAACAGTCAGCATTGATCGGCTGAAGCCAGCATATATTAACCCTGACAACAAGGTTTCGACCACACCACAAACAATTCCTGATTCAGAATCGTCTCGTGCACACTCCTCTTCAGCAACTGAATCGATAGTTAATCCACCTACCCGAACTAGGTCGGGTAGAAATGTGTACTGGCCTGCCAAATTTACAACCTACTATACATATTAATACTCATATTGCCCATGACCATTAATCTCGCGGGGGGTATTATGGAATCATCCATACTTGACTATCAACCCCTACGGGAAGATGCACTCTTCCCCAAATTAACCTTTAACCAATCATCACTTCACTTTTCCAAACTCAACTTCCAATCGGTTAAAAGGATACAAAACTTTAGAAAGTTCAGACAAATCCTTTTTTTCAAGCACAGCTGTCTGTGTAGAGAGGTTAATATGTCGGCTACTTCAGCCGCTACCTCCGCGGGTAACTTCTCTACCACGGACGCAAAATTTGACTGTTGCGAAGTTACGTGTCTGGCCTGAAATATTGCGTTCAATTGTAGGAACCACGTCTGAACGTTTGGGTTGAAGGCAGGCATTTCAAGCTTGATTGCTGTTTCTGTGAGAGGAACTGGATCAGCCATTTATAAAATCGTGGTTTTATTTCTGGATCTTCGGTCTGTCGGTTCGAAGACAACACGTGTCGATATAATTTCTTCCCGCGAGTTGGGGTCGTCACTCTTGTTGGATCTTTTGCATGTCGAGGTAATCAATGTATGTGATGGCTTGTATATTCCTTGAGCGTCGGTGTCACTTATTTTGTTTTCGTACGCCGGGGTTCCAATTTTGATTTCTTCAACGATTTGCACGTCGGGGTCGCCAATTTTGTTGGGGATGTGCAGAATTTATGAATTATAATTGAGAGAATCAGAAGGAATTTGTGTAGGTTGCGTGACTTTCTGCATCCACAAACAAATAAATAAACGAATTTTAAATACGATCAAAAACAAGACATATTCAATTTAGAAACCAGTAAAACATTTATATGCAATTCAAAATAATATACAAACAGGATATTTGGTATATGTTACTATGGCAAAGTGTGTGTGATATTTTAGGTTTTGGTATGTCTCTCTTAGTATTCGTTTGTTCATTTTGTAGGAATCCTTCTACTCGGTTTTTCGTTGAATATTAAAATTTGGAGTGTCGGGATTCAATACGTTAATAAAATATCGTTACAGGGTCGCTCGTAATTTGGCCGTCTAGAATAATCAAACGGTTTTCATTGAAGGAATAAAATTCAGTAGAAAAGACGACGTAGTTTCAACAAATAAACATTGATTTAATATAACGATAGGAATACAAAAAGTTGGAAAGTAATGTCTTTTGTTTGGGTTGATAAAGTTCTGAAATAAAATATAAACTGTCTTTGTGTACGCGTGTGAGAAACAATAAAATGTTGTGATGTGTGTGTTTGTATGAAAAAAAAGTCAACATGTGTGTGCGTGATTCATAATGAAAACGGATACGAGAGATAAGAATTGTTTCTTACTTTTGGCAGTGTTGCCGTGGTCTGGAGTTTGTTAACGCTGTCGTTTTTGACATGAGGTCATGAAGGTCATCGGCGAAAGGTGTGTGTAGCTTGCTGGCAGTCGCGTGAATATTGTTTAGGGAACGGATTTCGTATGTTTTTATACACTTTTTCTGAACAATATCGGCTCCAGAATTAAATTATTTATTTATTTCTAATTGGCCCTAAGAAGTCACGTGGTATGTCTTCTACTACGTCCGTACGATATTTGGTCGGTATCTACCTAAAAATGATGATGACTAATACAACAAACATTCTGATTTGTAATCTATGATTTTATTGGCGTGTTTTAAGATGTAAGTGTTTTCTTAAGTGTGATTGGTTTATAAATATTGTAGTTGACATTTTAGTGGACACGACAATTTACAGTCTTTCTAGATATGTATTGATATTAAAATTCTCAATATTAAGTGTTTTTTTTGGTAGGAGTTCTTATGGAATGATCTACCTTTGACTGTAATATTTCTAAATCGTTCGCACGTTGATTTTTACTCATTAGGTAGTGAATATAATTCACTTTGGATAAGCAAGGTTTGTGATTCGATGTCCACAGAGTTGGTTGAGTTTAAATTGCAAGTAAGTCAGCGTTGATGTACTTTTGCGCGGTAAAATCGTGATTTCGAGTGACGTGGAGTATGTTGGCAATTTCTCTGTGGATGTTCGTCTCTGACTGCTTTGGTCAGTGGGCGTTTTCTTTTATATGTTTTGAAAGTCCAAAATCGTCTCAAAGACGTTTTGGCGCAACTTCGTTTTGCACGTGAAACTTTCAGATTATTGTGTCGTTAACCAATGAGATTTGTTGATTCGCCTAGTACGGTTTTTATTGGTTGAAGTTTTCCGTACGTAGGCGTAAGATATAGACTGTTCTGTTACTAGTGGTGATAGGTAGGAAAAGGATGAGTCTACAAAATGATAGATGACTATGAGCTGACCCCATGGTAATGTACAGCATTTTCATGTTGTTTGTGATGATCCAGGAGGTTCATGAGTAACAATGGTATCAGTTCCAGCAGAACTCTACTCCCTCCTACATGGCCTATATAGGTGGCTGTTTCAGAATGGCCATGGTCATATCACCTTTAGCATGTAACTTTCTAGCTCTCCTAAATACACTGAACTATCTCTGCAGCATCAAAGAGAAATAGCTCAACTAATAGCACCACACGCAGTCATTTCCCAAATCACACTAACTAAGGCTATCATCAAGGACAAGGACAATTTTATTGAATAACCTTTTCTGTTATTCTAACTTGAACATTTGTAAATTAAAAAAAAGAATATTGAATATCTTTGTTTTTCTTTTGTTATCAATTACTTGGTGTACCTTGTAAACCCCCAAAAGAATGATTTATAAAAAATTCTTAGATGAAGCATTATCAATCATTATTAACTTTTCACTGGTATTTTTCATCTTATTTCTGTTTCTCATTGCAGCTCATCAAATCGTTATTGTACAAAAAAAGCAACGTAAATTGGAAATAAAAATACTGTATCCAGTGTACACTACACAGTAAACCGAATTCATGTAGTGCGAACCCTGATTTTGTTTTTTTGCATAAATTAACCCTTCCAGAAAAAATTATATGTGTATAGTGCGACCCCCGATTTTTGCGTAAAAAAAAAAAAAAAAAAAAAAAATGATCATAAAAACTAGCACTCGAGACGTTAAGATTTGAACTCGTGTTCTTTATCTTGATTTATCAACACAGGGGAGATAATTTGTTTCATGTTTATATTTTCCAGCAAGTATAATTTGTTCCAACTACAATGTCCGCTGAAGCAAGTGGAAAGAAATTAATTGAGGTGGACGTTGTCAGTGATATTGTCTGACCATGGTGTTGGGTAGGAAAGAGGAAGTTGGAAACGGCTATGAAAGAAACTCAGGATAAGTATGATTTCCGAGTTCGATGGCAGCCGTTTCTTCTTCGCCCTGACCTACCCGAGGAAGGCGTACCCAAGCCACCGGATAAAATGATTGTCCCTCGGTGAGTGACATAACCTCAGCTGACTACAATGATTATTTATGAACATTGACAGCCATTACCAATTTAATCACTGTTTACTTGATTATTAATATATCTTTCTATGTTTAAAAATCAATTTTTCCACAGATCAGATTAGTAGAGAAATATTAATGATACGCAAAGCAAAGTAATAGTTGCTGTTTTCATTTTGTCACACCGAAACAAAAATGTATCACGTGTTTTTGTTTGTCATAAAACGTTTGTTATAAATGTTTTATGATATTTTTAAAATTTAATAACTTTCTTCTTTTCATAGATAAAAAATTCGATTTTCATCGTTTATATATTCGTTTACAAAAAGAAAACGAATATATAATCATTGAATAAAAGTTATTTTTAATAATTGGATTAAAAAAAAAACGAAAATATTTAACTACAGAAGGGAGGCGACTCCATATAACTTTTGTTTTGAAAATTGAAAAAAAAATTGTCCTAACATTACTTCAGTCAGTGTATTATGCATTCAACGTGAATACCAAATAATTAAAAACCATTCAAAAGTCTGAAATATACTTCATAATTCTATTCAATTCATCTTGCTCAATAAAGCCACTTGAGATTTCTCATTCCGGAAAGTCTCAACGTAGAAATTTGTCCATTTTTAAAACTACCGTGTGGACTGTGAAATAAAATAATAAACAATCATCTTTAAATTCCACAAGGTTTGGGGAGAAAAATATTTTTTTAAGATATAAGAAAGGGAAAGTAAAATTAAAACTTATTTTAACTCCACTTTTACCGATTACATAAATCAGTTTGCCTGAAACATGGTCAAAAAGCGTTGGAGAGACAGACAAGAAAACCACTCAATGGAGACACTATATGAATCAATGTAGTCGCTCTAACTCACATTTCCATACACTACAGATACGATGATTTAACTGTGAACTTAACCAAATTAAAATAAATAGAGTATACAGAGCTCAGGAAATGTTTGTTTTTAGTTCTATGGGATAGTCTATTTTTCCGCAAAATTTTCATCTTCCATTCGAGTAAAAACTCTCTCTCTTCTTTTTTTTTTTTTTTTTCCTTTTTTAATGCAATTTTCTTTTCATTTTTATCCCCTACGGGAAAAATAAAAATCTTTTCAAATCTAAATCCCCCCTACTTCGTCGAAAATAATGCCTGATTCACAATCATCCGATCCATAATGTCCAAGTTTATTCATTCAATATTCAGAAATTATTATATACCCGAATAGCAAAATATGCCGGTGCCCCACCCTGAAAAATTGCTAAACGCCATGATGAGTCTTCTTCTCAATTCAACCACATGATGTTAGTTTATGTATTATTGGATTATCCAAAATAAAAAAAATAAAAATTTAAAAGATTTTTCCCATAAATAAACGGTTTCTAACCTAATTTTTAATAAGGAGATTATTGTTTATTTAGTTCTGAACCTAACCACGTTAGCTTTCCGAGTGGGTACAAAGTTCCTAATATTTTTTTTTTAATTTAAAACTGTTATTTTATTTTTGTTTGAATTTTGTTCGAAATGGTTTTTTTTTATCATTGTATATAGTTGGATTTGATTCAATCAAACCAATTAATCCTCACCACTTTTTTTTCAAACTATTACGTTTTTCCATGTCCAAATGGAGAGGCAAGTGGTGAGAATTAATTAGTTGGTTTGATTGAATCCAGTCCAACTATATTCAATGATAAAAAAAAAAAAACCCACTTCGAACAAAAAAAAAAACATTTTTAAATTAAAAAAAAAAAATGACCAGGAACTTTGTATACACTCGGAAAGCTAACGTGGTTTAACAAAACAATCTCCTTATTAAAAATTTGATTAGTTAAAAAACTAAAAGAAAACCGTTTTTTAACTAACCTAATTTGTAATAAGGTTAGTTTATGAATTTTTTATTTTTTTTAACAACTCAACATTTTATTTTTACATTCAATGAAAAAGTAAAAATAAGTTTAGTTTAGGGTTTTAAAAGTATGACGAAGCATCAGAAGAAGACTAACTTTAAAAAAAAATAAAATGTAAGTTTTTAAAAAAAAAAAATCGATAAAAATGTTATTTTTAAACTTGGGCATTTATTTTAAAAGTCAGAGATGATTTTATTACAGAACAAGTATTATTTCAAAGCTGAACACTTTCGTTTTATGAAGTACATGTAAAGTTCAACTGAAATAAAAACTTGGTGTACTGTAGTAAAAAAAAAAAACACTAACAGTCAGTTAAAAATATGGGATGCGTACACACACACCTGTGGGAAAGAACAACAAAAATTGTCCAGTAAACCTTGTAACTCATGTCATATAGACCTCAGAATACTCCTATAAAAATATAATAAATTCGGACACGCACACAAAATATATTAATAAATAAAATTAAAGTAAAAACATTTCTGTACCGATTAAAGATTAAAAAAAAAAAAATTGTGGAAAGGTCAATGAAGCCAATTTCTAATGTTGGTTTCTGACAGTGTGTGGGATGTCCACTTGCTCAATTTGTACACCTTCCCTATGCGATGTAAGTGAAGTTTGAGTGTTTCATCAGAAACCTGAAAGCATTAGGCAAGCTCACCAAAGGTTTGGCTGTTGTCCTCCTCTATGGCAACTTTCTTTTCCTCATCATCCAGCACTTGTGGCCAACCACTTTTGGGTTCATCATAAAGAAACAGATCTCCTGACATGAACTTCTGGGACTAATACCTGGTGGTGGGTTCACTCACAGCATTATACCCAAAGGCTTGACATATTCAGCGACTTGCTGCAGACAAGCTCACTTTAAAGTCATAAAGCAGACAACCCCGAACAAGATGTTTCAACACCGCCATGTTTTCTTGCCACTGCTTGAGCTATGACTGATATGTGTGTGCAACACATCTGCATTAGTCAAGAGCAATGACCTCTACTGTTTTCCCAGCATGTGACACACTCATTTGTGTATCAGTGATCACTTCTTCCCACAATGTAAAAAACAGCAAGGACTTTTTTGGTTACCTTATATATAGAAAGACATAATAACTGACATATTATCATGACTGTTGCTACAAGATCTTCCACATCTGTAATGATTTGTTTTGTCAATCAACTTTCACCTCAAACTTTCTTTTGTGTGTGTGTACTTGATAGTACACACACACACACACACAAAAATTAGTGTAAATTTAAATATTTTGCTAACCAAAGAGAGGATTACATTTATAAATAAATGCATAATTTTCTGCATCATTTTCAAACCACTTATTACTTTGATGATATACTTAATTTTAGAAGTACTTTTCTCAAAGTTTTTTACTTTACATGAACATTGTAAACATTCTCTTAACAAAGCTTCATTAACTGATTTGCTAGAGCTTAATTTTAATTCTTCTTTCAAGTGGTGTTAAAAAAATCTTAAAATTTACTTTCACTTTCTGCATAGATTACCTTTCATTTTAGTGTTTCATGCAAATTTATAATTTAAATAAAATTATTTACACTATTTGCATTGTTTAGACTGTTGTCCTTATCTTTTTATCATATTCACAATGTTTAGGCAGTTGTGTGCTTCCTTCTTCAGGCAATATACATTGGAATTTCAATAAAGATGAGGACAACAGTTTGAACAATGTAAATATTTACAATACCTCATCTCAGAAATATAGACAAATGTCAAATAAAATTATTACTATTAAATATCTGCTAAAACTACTTCCTTTTCTTTGCTTGGGTTATCATTGACCTTTTTTTGCTACTGATTTCTACCAGTTGCACACTCAATATTTAAACAAGAGTGGCTAGAAATTTTTTCATTTTTTTTTTGTACCAATGACAAGATTAAATAGATGGTTGCAAACTTTTTGGAAAATTAGACTGAAAATTATTTTCTGGATCTATCTAATGGAGACCCCCAATAAAAATAACATGAGTCTTTAAGCAAAATGTATTTATTAATGATTTGATACATTTTAAAAAGAGAATGCAGATTATTTCAGCAGAAAAGAAAATTAATTTAAAAAGAAGTAAATAGCAATAAAATTTACAAAAAAATGGTTGAGGAGGGAACTAATAGAAATACAAAAAAGTCTGAAAATTAAACCAAAACCTAGTGGTAATTTGTTTTTAAGGTCATAAAAAAGGGTCAATTTCAAAGAGTTTTGTTAAAAGACTTCAAATTATTATTGAAATTTTGAATTATAATATTTGGTATAATGTAATAATATATTAGTAATGTAGCATTCTATGACCAAAACATCTGTAAGTTAGTATATAACACTGGGAAAAAAAAACCCAACTACACAGCCAATTGATGTTGTACTAGAATCAATTGAATATGCTGATTCTGAATCTGTTCCTTGAAATGACCAAGAACATCAAGTTTTTGATGTTACTAAGTTTAGAGATGAAAAATAATGTGATATTAATTCCTTCAGGCTTATCTTTATATGATACTTGTTTGTAAAGCTTAGGCTTTTTCTTTTATTTTTTATGTTTTTAATTCATCAGTTATTTTGATTAATATCTTCATCTTTGTCCATCCCAAAGAGGTTTTGGAATAAAAATATTTTAATATAAAAATATTTAACACCACACTTGGTCCAGCAGCACTAGTAACTTTTTTAACAAATTTAATATCAAATTTTATCTCTGAAATGTCCCTCTTAATCAGATTCCTCTGTTGCTGATCACTTAACATTGTATATCCTGAGCTTAGTTCAGTATTTGTGTAAACCTACAATTATGGCCCTCAGGCAGTTCTCCACAAACTGGTCAGCTTCACCCTATGCTATGTTTGATTCTCATCAGTGTGATCAAAAAGTAGGAAAGACCCAGTATATATTCAACAAAAAGAGAGAAGCCGAGATATTGCCATGGCAAGAAAAAACAGGAATTCTGTTTTCAATATACTGGGTTCTTTATTCATGGATTCCATCTGGCACAGTCTTGTGGTAGATACATAGTTGGAACATCTTTGTTGCTATTTCTGTCTTCTTTCACAACAGACTAATGGACCAGATCTTCCCTTTGACCAGATTTGACAGCTAATGACCTGCCTCTGACTACTAATTTTTTCCTACCATCTTGACATTATGATGGACAGCTTGTCACTCCCATGCCAGGAGGTAGCCTGACTGTATAGATTCCTGACTGGTTGAGTGGCACTTGATCCCAAAAGTTTTACTTTATTTATTTTTTGCTTATTTGTGGAGTGCAGATGGTTACTTTCAAGTTCTCACATTTCAATTTTACTGGCAATCTCTTCAGACCCAGATAAAATTATTTAGATTCTACTTGGTTATATGGATGTCCTAATTTATTACATTTGCAATCAAAGAAAAACATCACAATATATTTACAGATATAGAATGAGAAAAATGAAACCAATTCATACATAAGAATAATCATATATTTAAGTATATTTTCAAAGGACAATTGTGAAATTTATAATTTCCAAAGAATTAATAGATTTATTTTTAATCTAGCATTTTTATTACATCAAAGATTATGACTTGCGCATACAAATAAATAAAAATGGGGCGTCTATTTCAAACAAGTGTCCACTATAATAATGTTGAAAGTAATATATATACTAATAAGTATACATTACATTTGTTCCTCACCAGCTTTTATCATTAGTATACATATTAGCTGTTATTTTATATTTGACACTGTTTTATTAGCATCAGCATTGTGCACTATTTTATGCTTTGTGTTATATCTGGCTAGTTTATTATAGCATGAGTGAACTTTTTAGTATACAAATAAATTATTTAGTATTAGCTTATAAGCTTAGGTATGGATTTAAAACTTTTGTTATTTCATATATTTACTTATTTAATGTTCACTGAAAAAAATAGATTGTCACAAATTTCGTTTACTTGGGTCACATTATGAAAAATCAATAACAATTAAGAAATATTATTTTGTTTGGTGGCATCCGGTAAATTCTTTTGAGGTAATTAAGCAGTATCCCTAATAATAAACAATTGTCCTTTTTAAATGTGAATAGGTTGTTTATAATTTTGTTTGTAATCACTTGTTATATACAAAGAACAATTCTAGGTATGTTTTATTTAAACTTTGATCCTGAAAGGATATTTTTGAAAATATTTTCAGATTTTCTTCATTTTTTTATTGAGAATGAAAATTAATTTGGTTTTGTATAATTAATACTAAAGTGTTTTTTTTTTGTTTTTTTTTAGGCCCCTTCCTCATTTTGTAACACAAGGAAAACAATTTGGCATCGACTTTACTTTCAAGTGTCCACGTTACCCAAATACTATAAGATCTCATGCACTGCTTGAATTTGCTAAAGACAAAGGGGACTTCGATAAACAGAATGAAATTTCTGAGAAAATCTTTCAGGTAACCAACAAATCTCATTTGAAAAATTCAGAAATTTAATTTAAATTAACAAAAAATATATTGCAATTAAATATTTCCCATATAGTTGTAAAGATTTATAAAATTCAAGTGTAAGTCTTTCAAAAACTCTATTTACTACTGAAGATAAGGATCTTTCATTTTAATTTCAATATTTTTTCTATAACTTTATAAGGCAATTAAATCCTTTTTATCTGTACACACTGCTCATAATATATTCATCAGTGATGACTTTCTTATTCACGAATTTTGCAAAACCATTCTTTGGAATCAAATATTATATCCTGCCACTAAAGTTCCAGCTTAACTGTTGCATCAGTTTTCATTATTTTGAAAATACATAAATGTTTCATTAATCATAGACAATAATTATTTTTTGTGATAGGAATATTCAATTTAATCAATTCACCTTTTGTTTTTGTTTTTATAACTACCCAGCATTATCTTTATTTAAATTCATTTATTACCATGCAGGGGCCGGTGATCTACAATTTTTGGCAATTTGTATAGTCAAATATTAGATACTCACTTAAACTCATTACTCTCAATCTGATAAAATGATGTTGATTATTATTAGTATTATTTCTATTACTATAATGTAATAAGAAGGGATCATATCATATATAATAAAAAGGCTTAAACACTAATATTCCATGGTTATAATTTATTACATTGGAATCGTACTTACGAACCAATTCATCAGACCTACAAATTCAAAAAGAAATCAGGAAAAATAACTCCAGGAATAAAAAATAAAATTTAGTGAGAGTGTATGTATGAGAGTGGGGGATGAAAGTGAGGAGTAAATGAAAGCTCTAGAGAGGAGTAACAGACGAGAGAAGAACAGGAAGGCCTAAAAGTGAAGGTGGGGATTAAATATTTGCATCCCTAAAAGAAAATAATACTTTAACCTTGAAAAGATATATATGAAAAAAAATCTTAAATATAAATTTCAATGTTGTAACCTAGAAAAGATTACTGAATTAAGAATAACCAAAACGGAGTTTGGAAATGAAATAGTAATCTTTATAACATCAACAAAATACAATACTCGCCAGTGGCGTGAAGTAGGTAAACCATTGCTAGTGGTGGACTACTTAACATATAACCCCCACTTACATTAGTGTTCATAGGTATGGTATATAACATTCATTTACATAGAAAATTTTTCTTCTTACTTTAATATTTTCTGTTGGTTTCTTTCTTTTTTCCTGTTGTAATAAAGTATAATTGGAATTTTTTTCGTATTTTATCAGAAACAATAAATAATACTGCAGAAAAGTTGATAGTATGTAGTTTTAATATAGTACAAAATGAATTGAGACTATTGACTGAGCTCCCCCATAATTTTTTCATAAACTCTTACAACCAACAATGTACACTGGCAAAGCTATTTATGCAATCAGTGCATCATTCAAATTAAGTCTGGAATCTAATTTCTTATCACTGATTCTGACTGCATTTCTTTTTATTAAAAATTTAGATGCTTCTGGTTTGCCACTTGAATGAAGAAAGTTTATCAATTTAATATTTTAAATAATGGTCTTCTTAGATTAAATATAAACAAACACAAAAAATAAAAATAATCATTAGAATTTTGACTCACTGTCAAATTAGATCATCTGATCTTGGCTAACACTTAACACTTCTACCAATGTGGATGTACTTATATGTCTTTACAAAACTTAGATTGTCTGCTGTTCACACACACACACACACACACACATATATATATAATAAAAACAATAGGATTTTTCCAACCATGTAACAACAAATGGAGCCTATGTTATAACCACATTAAACACACCAATTTGTTCACTAGCTCAGTCACTAAGACTACTTTCAAAATCTACTACAACTCTAACTGTAAAAGTCATAACATAATTTACTTACTAGAATACACACTATGCCAGAAACAGTATGTGGAAAAATCTGAATGGCCCTTTCACTAGAGAATTAATAATTATCAGAACTGGATTAAGTCAGCTTCCCACAAAAGAACATTTCCACCTAGAAAAACATGATTTTAAAAGCCATGCAAAATTCATGATTATTGAAAGAATAGAAATAGACACAAAAGATAAACTTGGGAAAATACTAGAAGAACATGAAAACAAATGGATTTTGTGCCTCAAAACACTTTGTCCAGAAGAATTTAACAGCAAACTAAACAGCACTGATAGAATTAATATATAATTCCATAGATCACCCTCCACACCCAATTTCTCAAGATTTCTATCTATTTCTAGATAGATGTGCTTGCAGAGGTGTTGAGGTCTCCCACATTCACCCACTCACACAAATATACACACATCACCCCCACCTAAAAGATAATATATGCATAACATACACATCACCTTCTCAGCAACCAATAAAGTTGCCAGAATGACTAAGGAGGTAAATCTGAAACTCATGAATCTCCCAGCTTCACCTTAAAAGGACTTGAAAGAGGCATTTTGACCAATACAAGGATTGACCAAAAATTAACAATAAAAAAAAAACAAATGAAAAATACAGGCAAAGTTCACTTTCTTTAGAGACAGTCATTTACCCCTGTAGTTGACTGCAACTGACAAGCAGGAATTTTTTCTCCTAATGATGGCCATGCTGGCCAAAACTAGTTGAAGAATCTAATTTAAATAATAAAACAAAAATATTAATATACAACCTAGTGTGTCTGAAATTTTTAATTTTTTAACATTTTTTATTGTTCAAGACATATATGGTGGACTCTTCAATGTATTCAATGTATGAGGGTCAAGTACCTCAGTTCCTATGAACCGACAGTCAGACACCAGCACATATGATTTGATTATAGTGGTGAAGGCTTTGTGCAGAACCAAGTACATTTCTTGAAGGGCCAAATACAGAAACCTGGTGCACTATGTGTCATAAGGTCCCCAAACAACCCTCCGCAGGTTTTGAATTCAAAGTTGTCCTCCTCTTAGACCAGTTGCAATCCAAGGCTATACAACTCACTCTGTCCTGCTATTTATCCATAGCTGGAGGGAGAAGAATAGTATTTATACCTTTCCCAAGAGTATTAGCACATAAGTGAATGTATTGTATTCAAGTGGAATTTTCGAACTTGGCTCTCCGATTCCTCAATCCGAGCTGCTATCCACTACTCCACCGTGACTCTTTATATATATATATATATATATATATATATATATATATATATATATATATATATAGAGAGAGAGAGAGAGAGAGAGAGAGAGAGAGACACAGTCTTCCAAGCTCTAGATAAGAATGAAGCCTGGACTGTAACTTTAGACTTCTCAAAAGAAATCAACAGGGTTTGGCATACAAGACTTCTCCACAACCTGAAAAGTTATGGTGTCTCTGGACGAGTTTTTGAACTGATCCAGTCTTTCATATCAAATTATGAAATGAAAGTAATTCTGAATTGCCACTCATCTAGATACTTTCGTACTAATGCAAGTGTCCCACCCAAAAACTAATTATAATACAGGGGAAAATGTTTGCATGATAACAAAGGAACAGGAGGAGAAATTAGCTACTCAATGAAAAAAAAACTTCAAAGAATTAAAACATCTCATTAAATTTAGAAAAATCAATAATCTGGAACATGGAAAACCCCAGTAATTTTCCAAGTGCCAAAAGAATATTGACTGTAATCAGGGCTGGAGACCCTGGCAAACAAGTATGTGCGATAGTGATGGAGGCAAACAAGGTCTTTGGTATGGTACCTCCAATTGCTTTCTTCAACAATGACAATGTCAGAAAGTTAAATCATTATTGTTCTGGAAGGCTCCCACTCCCTTTATAGAGCCCTAAAGCTTATGTTCCCCTTGGACATTGATGGCCTGTCTCCTGATGGCTCCATCAGGACTTAGATAGGCACAGGATCAATGGGAGAGGTCATCAGTGTCCTAACCCCAGCCATATTCAATGCAGGAGAGCAACCCTAATCGGTTTCATCATGGCTCTCTGGTTAGCAAGTGTTAATGCTTTTCGGCCTGATGTTGGAGTCTTGCAGGGCAAGACTCTCTCGCGACTTTCAGCGTCTTGGGTTTAATATATGTTGTGTGCAAGAGACCCATTTTTCTTCTTGTGATTATGAAGGCATTCTGTTTAGGGCATTTTCCCTCTATTCAGCATGTGTTGATTGACACTCAAGGGATGTCTCTTGGCTGGTGAGAAAGTCTTTGAAGGCTGTGTGTGCTCTTGTCTTTGCAGATCCAGCAGGCAGACTTTGTGTGCTGGATGTTACCATAAAGGATAAGGCTCTTTGTCTCATTGGGGTTTATGTGCCCAGTGTCCATTCTGAGTGGCCTGCTTTGTTTCATCAGATCAAGCCATTTTTGACGACATCTCGTCGGGTAGTTTTAGCGGGGGATTGGTATGCCATCCTTGACCCCGACATAGCACCAAATTTGGGTACTAACAACTGGGACGTGAAACTATGTCGGGACTTTATCAACAAGTTTGATCTTGTTGATAAGTACTGGAATTAACAACCTCAGGAGGTAGTGTTGACTTGGACTAATAATAGCAGCTCTGCTACAGAGGTGCATTCTAGCTACCTCAACAGAATCTTAGTTAGGAGAGTCGATGTAGAGCTCTTGGGGTATCTAAGTTTCCATTTTAAAGTTTATTCGGATCATAGGCTGGTCCGGGTTCATGTAAATTTAAATAAGCCTAAGGTTAAAATGGCTGGCTACTGGAAATTGAACTCCTCATTATTTGGTGAGAAAGATTTCTGGGACTAGCTGCTATTATAAAGGGAACTGACAGGGGCTGTGGTTAGGAATGCCTGGTGGGGGATAGATTAAAATCTAGAACATTTGCTGCTGATTTAAATTGTTGGCTCAATCTTGATAGATTAGTGGTGCAAACGACTTGTGAGCAAAAATTTGATCGGGTGATCAAATCCCGTAATAGTGGGGACGTAGCTTTAACTAAGGCAGAATTGGCTTCCTTGCTTATCAAGAAGGATCAAACTCTGGTAGTTC